GGTCCCCATGAACCGGTTGGTCGGCAAACCTGGAAGTAAGTAACTTCCGGGAACGGCAAAGGGCCCGCCCGCCCGCCCGCGTTCCTTACCCGGTTTTGACGAGTTCTGCGCTTCCACGCATGTGCAGGACGCATACAGCGCCTGCGCAATCCTCCAGGAGCAGCTGGAGCATCGCAACCAGTTCGGTTGGAACGGAGCGAGAAACCCACCCCTGATGTATACAATTATAGAATTATTATATTAATATGTATTGAATTGTTTAAAATAACGACATCTTAATATTCATGCATTCTGAAATGTACACCTTAGCCTATTGGTAAGCAGGTATATCACATTAAGAATTTCTACTTGATAGATATTTCATGATTATTTTTTTCTACTGGATTTTTTTAAAAAAAGCAATAGATAATGTCTTCTCTCCAATCTTGTTACCAAGAATAAACAAGTGTGTAAATAGCTTAAGGATCTCCTTCCTACCCTCTTCCTACTCTCCCCTAAACCTATACAACTGCAAATGAGAAATAGGTGATTGTATTTTGGGAGCCACATGTGGCCAACGACCAGCTTTTTGAAAGATTCAGTGTCTCCCAGAACATACTGCCGACATTCAGCAACAATTTGGTGGACTTTGGAAGTGTGATATCCTGCTAATTCTTAGCATGAAATAAACAGCTAGACTTTTGGCTAGACTGAGCACAGTGTCATTTACAGTGCCTGCAGATGCCATTGTATGCACAACACACTCTCATAATAGCATCCACACAATTCTAAAAATATATTAAATCCAATAGAAAAAATCCTTGGAATATTACCCTTTAACTTCCTAGATAAATATGACCCCTAAAAAGTCAGTGGAATATTGAGATACCTTTGCATAAATAGTTGTGTGATATGTGTATGTGTGTGTGCGCGTGTGTGTGAGAGGGAGAGGGATTTATTAGTCTTAGAGATATCTCATTATACTTTTTGTTTGTTTTAGCAACCAGAGATTAGAATCCCATTCCTGATAGTCACTGAGCTGGGCATTCTTTAAGTTTCCAAGTCTGTAACAATTAAAACTCTAAGAAGTCTCTTAGCAATTAATGTGTAGATGTGTGTGTAAGTGTGTGCAAGTATAGATAGATAGATAAAAGATATCTATTTATTTATTTAGTTAGTTTGTCACTCATGTACAAGATAACAGGAATAAGAATAAACATGAATAAGAACACAGGAAATGGATAAAAATAAATGGGGACAGTAGGACAGGGATGTTAGGCATGCTGGTGCATTTATGCAAACCCCTACTATCTATATATTGAATATATACTCTATCTATTGAAGATAGATGATGATAGATAGATATAGATATAGATATAGATATAGATATAGATATAGATATAGATATAGATATAGATATAGATANAGAGAGAGAGAGAGAGAGAGAGAGAGAGAGAGAGAGAGAGAGAGAGAGAGAGAGAGAGAAGGGAGGGGGGAAACCTACAAACCCACAGATACAGATAATAGAATTGTATATCTAGTTAACAAGTTTCAGGATCAAGAAAAAAGAGAATATTAGATAATAGAAAAGTTTTAATAATGCAGTTGTTGATCATCTGCTGGGGAAGAGATGAAGTCTAGGTAAAGGATGATCCTTTTGTGGGATCTGCTATACTAGGCTAGGGCATACTGATTATAGAAGAATGACATGGAACTGGGAAATTGAGCACTTTGTTCTCTGGACACAGTGTAACTAAATCAAGATTTCATTATGATGAACTAGGCTTACATTGTGCCTTCATTCTAGCAAATTTGCAGCATCTTTCTGCATCATACAGACCTTTTTTATGTGGATGTTATATTTGTCCAGAATTCAGAAAATAAAGTTGATTTAGAGCCAAATTAATTGCTTGGCTTCCTACCATCTACCTGGGATCCTGATTTCCAATCATCTCCTCTCTTGTCGCCAGGGCTCTTTTCTGATAAATGTATCATATCAGAGAATCAGAGTCTACAATAAGGACCTGGATGAGCCAGATTTGGCCCCCAAGTCCTCTTTCAATAGCTTCCAAAGCCTCCCCACCAAACAAGAAGCAACATAAGCCCCCGATAAGATTAACATCTGTTTTATTTTTTACTGTTTTTATTTTTAACTACTATGCTACTACAAGTTCTTGGAAGCTGATTTTTTAAAAAAAATATTTGATGTTAAAATGTTGCTTTATTTAGATTGATGGACACATCATGCCCATCACTAACTTGTTTACTTCATGATGCAGAATAGAGGCTCACTCGATGTTTTATTTCCCATTTCAATTTCCCAATTATTATTCATTCATTCATTCAATTTCTATAGCTGCTCAACTCAACCAAATGACTCTGGGCAGCTTACAATTCTAAAATGATATAAACAATAAGAACATTACAACTGTAAGCAAAATGGTGAATGTTTGCTATAGTTTTGCTAGTTGAACTGAATGTCACACATACTTGCTCTGATCTGGGTATAGGGATTGGGTGTATGCAAACTAAACTGGAAATTGCTCACCAGAATTTTCCAACATGGATTTGGTAGACTTTTGGAAAATTGGCAATCAACTCTTCTTATACCATTTAGGTACCCATATATAATTAATCTAATGATTGCGTTACTGGAAGACTAAATTAGGTCAATTATTTTTCAAAATTTCAGGTTCAAGAAGAGAGCGTTGTGGGTATCGTATCGTTCGCCGTCATCGCAATCCAGAAGATTTGGTGCATTGTGTAGGCAAAGGGAAAAAGAATAACGAAAGTATCATCCAAGCAAAAGAAGCCCTGGGCAATGCAATAAGCCCAGAACAGTTTGTCTCCATATTACTTGAAGCTGAACCACCAAATGTGTTGGTGAGTCGCCCCAACAGGCCATTTACAGAAGCTTCCATGATGATGTCCTTGACGAAACTTGCAGACAAAGAATTGGTCCATATGATTGGTTGGGCGAAAAAAATCCCTGGTAAGGAATTTGAAAACTCCTGTGTTTAGAGTGGAGCTTATGCTAAATGACCTTTGAAACATAAGTATGTATAAAAAGTATAAATATTTTTTAAACAAAACTACAACAAGAAAAACATGTCAATGATCACATTATTATTTGGTAATACAACTTCGGTAAGGCCATTGTTTGGAGCAAAAGTAAAAACATAGAATATAAGGTTTCATAGGATCAAAGAGATCATCTATGGTAGTCTAATCCCCAGCCCAGTATATACCTATGCTACTACAACATCCCTGACAAGGCTGTCCAGCATATTTAAACATTCCCACCTCAGGTGAGTGACCAATTTCCAAGACAGCTTTTACTATTTAGCTTTTCGCCCTCAAGTTCAACCAAATTTATTGTCTTGTAATTTAAACCCCTGGTTTCTTGCCTTGTCCTGTCTTCTGGACCAACTCTGAAAAATTCTGGACCATGTTCTATATCTGGGGTCCCCAATCCCCAGGCTGAGGCCCACTACTGGGCCTTGAACCGTTCAGAACCAGGCCGCAAAATTGGTGGGTGAGCATGTGTGCATCCCCACTTGCGTGAGCAGTGGGCAAACACCTGTGTGTGGACTCCATTTGCATGAGGGTTTTTTTTCTAGGATCCTTATCATTTGTTCCTCCTTCTGGGAATGATGTGATTGCCACTATCCTTCCTAAAGTGCATTCAATGCTGGGCATTGCATTCAATGCCCACCCAGCATTGAATGCAATAGTCTAGCTGCAGCCTAATTAAAGCAGAATAGAGAGGAACAAGGGCTTCTTTTGATTCAACATTATATTTGTGCTAATACAATATAGAACTGCATTTGCTTTTTTTGCAACTGCATCACATTGTGAGTAATATCCATCTTATGAGTCACCCAGATACTTTTTGTATTGTATCCGAGGTATTGTACCTCTGATTTTTCCCAATGCAAATAGAGGATTTTGCATTCATCATTGTGGAAATTTAATCTTGCTAGGCTTTGCCCAAAGTATCAGTTTGTCAAGATCCTCCTGATTTTGTTTTATAAAGCAGTATTTCTCAATCTTAGTAACTTTAAGATATGCGGACTAGTCAGAATGCTTGGGTCAATAATCGGATCTACTCCTTCATTTCAAATATTTTCCTCACTTTTCCTGGCTGTATCTTTTGACAAGTAAACCAGAGAAATACTGCTTATGCTCCCAGTACTTTAAATTCCTCTGTTGATGCAGCCTATGTCTGCATTGGCTTTTTTGGAAGCTGCAGCATACATACATGGTTGTCCACTAGGATGCCTAGATCCCTCTAACAGATGCTACTCTTGAGCCAGGTACCAACTATTCTATACCTGTGCATTTGGTTCTTCTTGCCTAAGTCTAAAATCTTACTTTTGTCACCACCGGATTGGATTTTGTTGAATAAGACCCAGTGATATATTTGGCTCTTCTTGTTCCAAGTAGACAACTTGGGGTCCCCTGAGGTTTGGTTTTAATTTTAGCATTTCACTTAGAACCCAGGTTCCTGTTTTGGAAAAGGTTTTACTCATTTGTATTAAAAACTTGGATTTCTCAATTGCTGTCTTTAGACAGTTGTGACTTCCCAGTGTGAGTCAGGAAATTACCTAGCTAACAAGTGGCTTTTTCTATCATTTGGATCTATGTGATTTTTCCTCCTTGTTTTTTGACCCTCTACTTAGTCCAACGCTTAAGGTTTTCTTCTCCTCTGTAAAGAATATTACTTTCAATTGATCCATTATGACTGATGCTGCTTTTACTTTGCTTAAAAGCCCTGGTTAGCTAATTTGGTGAGGTTTGTTTTTTACATTTTTAAAGTAGAAGAAATCCCAGCTCTGGGAGACAAAAAAAAGCTATAGCTAAATAATACCTTAAAAATAAGATAGTTTGACTCCTTTTTGTTGTAACAACATTAGAAGTAAGGGATGGGGGAAGAAACAAAAAAGCCCCCAATTTAGACACAACTTTTAAGTCGTGAGATCTTTGGGTATGAATAAATACAAACTGCATGCTAGTTATTGCTGGCATCATATATGGATACATACCATAGGTGGGTTTCTGCCAGTTCGCCCCAGATTGGGTGAACTGGTAGAGGCAGTGGTGGGAGGCTCTGCCCACCCACCTGGATGCTTCTGCACATGAGCAGAAGCGTTGTGCATGCGAGCGCATGCACAAGCGAACCAATAGTGAAATAAATTGAAACCCACCACTGATACATACATCTGAAGTCCCTTATGTATTGACAGATGAAGAAGAGTTTATTATTTACCAGCAATTGTTAACAAGACATTTATCTTAGTGGAAGTCATATTCTTTTTCTTTAAGACTTATTCTCATTCAATTTGCTAATACTGCATGTACCTTAACTCCGCAGATGGCTCCTGTTTATATGCAGGTTGGACCATTTTGACTGTAATGTTGTGAGAAAGGTTTAATTTAACATTAAAGTAATGAAGTCAATAACTAGAACTGCTGTAGTCCAGACCGAATAAATAAAAGCTCTACCAAAGAACAGTTGGTAAATCAACTGGTAAATCAATCAAATCAAAAGTTAAGGCCTTTTTGGCCATCAAGTCCAACCTTCTCAGAAAAAAAAGTTCCCATTAAAGCATCCTGACAGGTGGCTATAAAGTTTCTACATGTACAGGGAGTCCTCCACTTACAAGAGTTCATTTAGTGACTGCTCAAGGTTACAACGGCACTGAAATAAGTGACTGAAAAAAGTGACTTACCACCATTTCTCACAGTTACAACTTTTGCAGCAACTCCCTGATCATGTGATCAAAACTCAGATGCTTAATAATTGGTTTATGTTTGTGAGCATTATTGTGTCCCAACAATGTGACAGGGGTGAAATCAACCTCCCTTCACTAACGGTCACAACTGTGGGCATACGTGCGTGCTGGTTTCGCTCGCATGTGCCTCATTCGCCTATGAGCAGGACCTTTTGCGCATGCGCAGAGCATCAAAACGGGACGTGATGATATCTGGGCAGGTAGGCAGGGCCTCCTGCCATCACCGCTATCCTTTCACCCAAACCAGATAGAACCTGCTGAATTGCACCACTGTTATGTTATCACTTTTTGAAACCTTCAGACAAGGAAAGTCAATGGGGAAGCCAGTTTCACTTAACAATCGGGGTACTAATTTATCAAGTGCAATGATTCACTTAAGAACTGTGGCAAGAAAGGTCATAAAATGGGGCAAAGTTCACTTAACAAATGTATCACTGAACAACCGAAATTTTGGGCTCAGTTGCAGTCATAACTGCGGGACTATCTGTATTGTTTTCTACATATATTTGATGATATTTAAGTATAATCTACTCCAATCCTAATACAGAATGGGCAGGAGTCAACAAAAAACCAACCATATGATTAAAAGGACAGGCAATATGAAGACAATTAAAACAACTGTATTTTGGTTCTACTGACAAACTTTTTTTATTGTCAGAAGATTCTCCTAACATTCAACCATAATCAGTTCAGCATGGCACCACAGCCACACAACTTTACAACTAGGATACAAAGAAAATAGTGCTTCAGACATTACTACAATAATGCCTAACATTGATGACCTTTACATACATAGATTTTGATTTCAACAATCTGAGCACAGTTAAAAAAAATTATCTAAAAACTTTCCTAAATGTTTTTTAAATAAAAAAGTTTAAAAGTTTAACAGATTTTGCAGCTGAAAAACAAAACATATATATGTGAGGAAGTTAAAAAGGAATGACTTAGTTTGCACAAAAACAATACAAAAGCCAGTTGCCTATTGCTTTTCATTAAAAGTCTTAAATGAAATTTGGAGGTATTGATATCCTAAATGAGGGTCCTGATGATAGTAATTTTACTTTGATCATTGGAGAATTCTAGACATTTGCACTCAGCTGGGAAATGAATCCATTTTCACTTTTGATTACTTTCCCTGCTTATTTTGTCACTCACAGTGATGGAGATAGAATGTGTGTAATTCTGCTGCCCCTCCAATTCAGTCCATTTTTGTAGTAAATGCAGTTGTTATTTTTTCCTCCCACTTTGAAAAAAAACCTCCTCTAACTTTGATCCAAATATATTCATATTTAGAAGAGCACTTTGAAATAAATGTGGCTTAATGTAATCATGACTAACTGAAGTTCTACTGATTTTGATAGATCTACCACAGCCATGACTAAGCCTATAAACCTCTTTTTTTTTTTACAAGCATTTGTTTTCATCAATATAGCAATAGCACTTAGACTTATATACTGCTTCACAGTGCTTTACAGCCCTCTCTAAGCGGTTTATAGAGTCAGCATATTTCCCCAATAATTTGGGTCCTTATTTTATCCACCTCAGAAGGATGGAAGGCTAGTCAACCTTGAGCCCGGTGAGATTTGAACTGCCAAAATGCAGGCAGTTAGCAGAAGTAGCCTGCAGTACAGCATTCTAACCACTGCGCCACCACAGTGTCTTTTGTGTCTTTACAAGTGGCCTATTTTCCATATTAATCTGACTATCAGGAGAAATACTAGCTAAATTCAATCTGTATAATCAAATTGGCATTATGTATTTATATTGTAGGATGCATCTGTGGTGTGAGAAAGTTGGAAGGCAGAATAGAAGTGTGATCAAAAAATTGATACTGCAGATATTAACATAAACTTTTTAGTCTGGAATCTGGATAAATGTTCACACAATATCCCACTTACAAAATAGAGATGAATAACCTTTTTAGGACTACAGAATGCATTTCCTCTTTGAATACAATATCAAGCAGAGGTGGTATTCAGCAGGTTCTGACCAGTTCTGGAGAACCAGTAGTGGAAATTTTGAGGAGTTTGGAGAACCGGTAAATACCACTTTTGACTGGACCTGTCTTCATCTATTCTCTGCCTCCTGAACCCCAGCTGATCCAGAGGAAATGGGGATTTTGCAGTAACCTTCCCCTGGAGTGGGGAGGGAATGGAGATTTTGCAGTAACCTTCCCCTGGAGTGGGGAGGGAATGGA